CATGTTATGTGTCGGTGTGATTGGTGTTCTAATCCTTTCTTAGTTGTTGCATGAATGTGTATACCTTGTGAACTCTATAATTTTGCCTATGTTAGTTTCTTGCTTATGATTGGGCCTATTTTATATCATTCGCCGTTAAAATAAAATAAAATAAAATAAAATTGATATTTTGATATTTAATAAAAGCATATGCAAAATTCACCTTAGAAGTATGCTTCATTCCATGTGATGGTAACATTTAATATCCCGTAAAAAATAAACCTTTGTAATAACTAATAAGAGATAACTCTAAAGTTAGGGAAAAATTAAAAGGGTGTTTGGGATAATTTTTAAAGTGATTTTGAACTTTTATCTTTTTCTAAAAATCAAAAAGATTGTTTGGTAATGCTGATTTTTCCAACTTTTTCAATAGAGTAATATTATCTTTTTGAAAAGTCAGGAAATCCTGACTTTTTCATTTTTTACAAAAAGAACTTTTTAGCTTTCAAAAGCTAAGCCAAACACCCTCTAAGTAATATAACCATTATAAATGGGGCTTACATAGATACCAACCATCTTTTTTTTTTTAGTTTTTGAAAAATAATCATTTTCTCGGAATGTCTAATTCCGAAGTATTTTTTATATTCCGGAGTATTTTTTTTTCCTTTTTTAATTTTCATAAAAATCTTTTTATTGTTTTTTGGAATTTCGAACGCTACATTTTGAAATGTTTGATGTAACCGTTTTTTAATAAAATGTTTACATTTATATACTAATATCATATATAATTGATATTATTGTGTTTGTTTAACTTTTTGTAAAATCTAAGTCAAAAAACAAATTTTTTTTCTCAAATTCTTGAATTGTTCTTCGGAATTTGGACTTCTTGAATTCCAAAGTTTTTTTTTTTTTTTTCCAAAATCCGAAATCTTAGTCTGAAATCCGGAATGTTGGTTCAGAATCCGAAATAGTGTTGGAATCGGTCAAAAAATGTTTTCTTTTTGGTCCGGATTGTGCATTCTGTATAAAATGATTATTTTTGCTGGAAATAACTTTTTTTAATTATTTTCTTCGAATATATATTAAAAGTGGTTAGATTAATTTTTCTGAATTTAAACGTATGCTTAAAGAAATTAAAGTTTATTGTGAATTTGGGCCAACTCTAACAAAAACTCGAAAATCGATCCTTCCGGTTTTTTGAAAAGAAGTCGACCGGGTTTGTTATCATTTCCACTCTGTAATACCAGCAACTTGCATTTTTTAAAAATCAGTAGGGTTTAAGGGTTTTGTAGCTCAAAATCGTTGGGGAAATTCAATTCCATGGCGTCTTCCCTCTGTACAAGAATTTATCGTTCTTTTCTCTCAACAAACCCTATCACTAATCACCACAAGTCGCTACCAATTTCTCTCCACCATTTCTCCACAGAAATCCCCTCCGGGTCTGATTCCGATTCCACTGTCGCCCCAGAACTCGACCCGGATCCGTTATCCCAATCTTCCGATTCTAATTCCCAGCAAAGGGACTTCGGAGACCGCCCACTCGAAAATGGTTTAGATGTAGGCGTGTATAGGGTACATACACATTGCTTAATTTTCTCTAATACACAGAAAGAGGTAGATTTAACTTGTTATTGTGAATTTTACGATTAGGGTTTTGTTGTTGTATTAAATAGGCGATATTGATCGGGAAAGTCGGTCAAAATCCGATAGAAAAGAAGCTGAGGAGTGGGAGGACGGTGACTATGTTATCGATCGGAACTGGAGGGATGAGGAACAACCGGAGGCCATTACAGAATGAGGAGCCAAGGGATTATGCAAATCGGAGTATGATTCAGTGGCATCGTGTCTCGATTTACCCTGAGAGATTGGGTGCGCTTGTAGTCAAGAATGCTGTTCCCGGGTAAGCTTAAATTTTCAGTTTATGTATATAGTGTACATAATTCTGCTAAATGCGAATGCTATGGTCTATGTTAATGAATTTGGAGAAGATTAAATAACAAAATGATAAGAATTTAGCACTTTTGAATTCTGTAATGATATGGTTAGCGTGATAGTTTATAATGTTTCTTTTGATTTTGATTTCATAGGAATGTAAGTAGGGCATGTTGTAAAAAAACCATTAGATGATAGAACTAGATAAGATATCACTTACATGTTCAAATGCCAATTTGTTAATGGAGGAACTAGTGTTTCATTTAGCAATTTATGTAAAACCTTATGACTAACTTATGGTATGTAATAATGGACTTAAAATGGGACATATGACTTAATCTGGTAAGCTTTATATGAGTGTTTCTTTTTTACTAAATGTAACAAGAAAGAACGATTTAATGGAGAAAGGTAGAGAAAACTATGGTTTGACATAATTTTATCTTCCATTTTCCAAGTGTGAGGCCTTTTTCTCAAATTAATCATTTGTTGCTGTTTTGCTTATAGTGCAATCTTGTATTTGGAGGGGAATTTGGAGACGAAGATTTTCAACGATCCAATAACTGGTCTAACTCGACGTGTTAGAGAGATTGCCATACGCCGAGATGGTAAGTTCCATGAAAGTTTAATCAAAGTCTTACCATCTAGTTATTTTTAGGGTGGGAACAGTGTGGGCCCGCTTAGCTCAGGGGTTGCTGGAAGAATAACCTTTTTGCAGAACTGGCTTCACCTGCCAGTCTCATAGTCAATGTCAGATATTATGGATTCTCACCTCCTTCCTGTTAAAAGACTTTTTCTCAAGTTTCATAGTTGAATTGTAGGTCGTGTCGTGTTTCTTGAAAAAGGAGGTGATGCTCAAGAGGATAGAGCGGAAATTAAGGGGGTTGGTTATTACTAAAGGATGAAGGGCAAACTATGAAGTTTGTTATTGATTGTTATTGCGATCTTAAGTTAACATTTAGATGATAGTCTCTTTATTTATGCTTACATTTCTTGTTTCTTGACATTGTGAATTAGTGAGAGAAAGTGTACACAAAGTTTGGAAGAAAACAGGCATGGCAGAAATATCAGTTATCTTAGTAAAGCTTATTTGGTTTCATTTTTATTCCATAGATCTCTCTTTGGCTCTAGCTTTATGAATCAGAAGAAAGTATTTACTTCCTTAGTTTTTCTTGTATTATGTCATATTGAGTTATAAAATGGAAATGAACTTTAGTAAATTTCTTGTTTATGCTTAACTTTTTTTTTAAGCTTAATTTAAGATGAACTTTTGGAATTTACGTTTGAATAATTTCGTTGTGTTAAATGTTCATTTTTCTATTTGAAGGATTTACATAGAGTTGACTAGGTAACCATAAAATAAATAAATTAGGTTGAGTTTTTTTTAATCAATTGAATGTATACGATTGTATAAAAGCATATTGATTAAAATTTGTTTGGTTAAACTATTTTTGTCTTGATTTGTTCATTGTGTTTTCTAAAAAAAAAACAAAAACAAAAACAAAAAAAGCTCTAATATTGACCACAACAGCCCAAAAATAATTCCAAAGATCACCACAGCCTACAAATAATTCCAAATCAATTCTAGAAAAAACTAGAGAGTAGAGATGTTGAAAAGCTAGAAGCATAAGAAATAAGTCATTAAATTAAATATGAAGAAAGACCTTACAATTAAAATTTATAAAAAATGATATTTATAAAATTGACCAACATGAACGAACTCATATTCCGAATGACTAAACGTTGACCATGAATGCTAGTACGCCTCATTCCGAACTATCTAGTTTTGTGTCGGATTTTCAAAAACCATTTGAACTACTACATAAATGTTTTCTGAAATATGACATGTCAGTATTATGAATGTACAAGATAAAATTTATACACTTTGATTTGTTATATGAAGATAAAAGTTTCTCTTGTGTCTATGTGTATCTTTAACGGATTTTAAAATTAAAATATATTTTTATTGAATTACTTTTTTGTTATTTGTTATTGTTAACTTTTGTTAACTCTCTTTAAATAAATTATTTTATTTCTATAGTATTTTATTAATATCAACAACATAATTATAAATAATATTTATATTTATAGTATGATTATTTGTAATATAAGTTATTGTGAGATTAAAAAAATATTATTAGGATTTTTTATTATTCTAGTAAGTTATTTGTTTTATTTGTTTATCACGATTTAGGAGTTAATTATACATTTTAGAATATTTAAATTTTCATGTTAGTTTTCAGTGTTGTTAATTTCAATAGAAAAATCATAGATAGCAAGAATACATTACACTTTTTGTATTTTTAAATAGTATATATTATTATTTTATATTTAATATTGTTATCTAAAATCAATTACTTCGCAAAATTCAAACATCGCATACCCTAGTTATATTTTCTAGATGTGTCATTGTTTTCAAGTCCAAGTTAAGTGCTAATTAGATCTAATATTTAGTTAATACCATTACTAATATGCCTCCAAGTATAGTCCAATTATTTGTTGTGAATCATGTTAAAGTGTTGTTAATCGGTTACTTACATGCCAATCTATAACTCTTATGCAACTCATTTTCTTAGGAAAGATCATTTTGTGGGTGGAAATGGGTTGTCCACCAAAAATAACTAAATATATATAATTTGTTACATATAACGTTTATGCGATAGAAGTTGCTTATGGCGCTGATGAATTAGAAAACGATCACGCAAAATTGTTGGTGTTGAGTAATGATTCAAACAATACATCCACACGATATATTTCACCATTATATGACAATGTGTTATTTTTTCCTTTGTGTATTATAGCTTGAATTGAAACACCAGTTATCTTGTACACTAAGATGATTCTTGAAAGGAGAATTCGTAAGTATGCAACATGAGTAGATCGAAAGAAACTTGGCGGGTATTATTATTTGAATGATCAATTACAAAAATAAATAAATAAAAAGCCATAATACCGACTTTGGGTTGTGTTGCTATTCATGGGTCTATTTCAAATATGAAAATGAAAACGAACTTAAGGGTATTTTTGGAAACTTAAAATGCATACCCATACCCATAAAATGGAAATCAAGCCACTTCTGTGGGTGTGGTTGGTAAATGGACATTTCTGACCCCATCATGGATGGGATTACTATCTCTTGTTGTCCACATAACATCCTATCTCTTTCTCATTCTATTCTCTCACACAAACAGAGGAAAAAAAGCCATTAATGGAGAAGATATGGCAAAACTCAAGCCTCCTGCATTCAACATCTAAACACCACCATCACCAACCACCACCAGCAACCACCAACACTTCCCCTGCAGTTATCAAACTGTCGCGTAGACACCTCGCAATCTGCACCAACTCCTCCCTCCTACTCCTCACTTCCCAATTTCAACCCACAGCAAGAGCACAAGAACAAACCCTATTCCCACCCGAAAATCCCCAAACCCTAGACGACAATCCAGTTGACACGACTAACACCGCCACAACTCCCGCCGATGACAATCCACTCGACACTACCACCACCACTACTCCAATCGAAGCCAATTCAGTCGAGACTACAACCACCGCCAGCCCCGTCGAAGAAAACCCAGTTGAGACTAGCGCCACCGCCACTCCCGTTGAAGAAAACCCTGTTGAGACTAGCGCCACCACCAATGTAACCGAAGAGAATCAATCGGAAACTAGCATCACCGCCGACGAGACTAGTAGCGTCACCACCAAAGACGTTCCAGACACCAATGACTCCACCACCGCCGCTACCACCGTAGACAGCTGCACCGACAAACTTCCAACCAAGCGCGCTTTCCTAGACATATCAATCGACGGCAAACCCGTCGGACGAGTCGTCATTGGGCTGTACGGAAACTCCGTCCCCACCGGAACTACTAGGTTCAGCGATTTCGTCAGTGGAGCAGCAGGTAATTTCCACTTTCACTCCTCCAAGTTTCATATTTTCAATTTACATCTAATCATTCCACTACGACAGGTGTGAGTTACAGAAGAAAAGAGTTCATAAAAATCACACCAAGCTACATCCAACACGGCGGCGTTAGATCCTACGGCGTCGACGCTGAACTCGCAGCAAAAACCGGGAGAAGTTTCGCAGTCAACAATCTCGTTTCCGAATTAGAAAAAGAAAACGGAAAATGTCCGGGAACTAAAAACGTCGCCGGAACAGTTGGGATTATCGTACGGGACCCACTGAAGCCGCCTCCGAAGCAAAAATTGGTTGCTCGAAATGGTAAACTGGTGATCGATGAAGAAGAAATCGGGAAAGAACCAAATGGGACGGAGTTTTTGATATCAACAAAAGATTCGCCGGAGTTGGACGCATCAACGTTGGTTGTCGGGAAGGTTCTAGAAGGTATGGAAGTTGTTGAGAAGATGAGTCAGGTTAAAACTGTTCAGGAAAACACTAGTTCTCCCTATTTCAGGTACTAAAAATTTTTAAATTTAAAATTTAAAATCACTTTACTTTGTTAGTAATTTAGAGAAATTAATTAATGTTGTGAAACAGGGTGGCGAAGTTGATCGGAGATAAAAGAGCGGTGGTGGCAGAGAGAGGGTTTAACAGACCCTATTCAAAAGTAATTGTTACTAATTGCGGGTTAATGGCGTAATTTTTGAGTTGTACATCAAAATGTGTATTCTTGTTCTAATTTTTTGATTACATGAAAGCCCAAAAATTTTGTGATTAAATTGAAAGTGAAGAAATAAATGGTTTAAGCAAAACAAGATAATAATGCTACTTCACAAATAACTGAGTTTAGGTGGAGCCATGTGTGAACTTGTGTCTTTTAGCTGAAGGGGGTGTGAGAAGCTTTTTAACAGAACCAACAGGATCTGACACCTGTAAAAAGATTAATGGATGATTAGAAGCTGATTGTAGTTGGAAGGAATGGAATGTTGAATTCCAATGGAATGGGTTACCTGAATGAGTGAAGATGAAGGTTGTTGGGGTGTGGGTGATGGAGGAGAGAGGAACTCTTTCTGGCGTTGTAGAGCAGAAAGAGTTTGTTTCCATCCAGGTGCAGACTTCCCAGTGGATGTGATCCAGGGGCAAAAATGTCTATGCTGCTTTATTGGATCAAACTCCATTGCTTTTGTACTTGTAGTTGTAGCTGCTGGACTTGGTTGACTTGAAGTTGAATCCTTCCCTAAAACAATAATAATAATAATAATGGGTACGAATTAGTTAACCCTAAAGAAAGATTAAGCTAAAATAGTTAACCCTAAAGAAAAGCTTCGTTACACTTTTGGTCCCTAAACTTTTTAACTCAACGATGTCGATGTCAATTCTAAACACGAAATCAACAAACCCAAATCTGAAACATATCTAAGAATCTTCAAGGAAGCAATGGTCATTTAGAATATAGCCTAAGGACTAAAAGTGCAACAAAGTTCCGCTTTAGGGACTAAAACCATCATGTTTCACAAAGCACAGGGACTGACTTACCTAAATAAGATAACCTCTCAGTATCATCATCATTGGTTCCAAGACTTCCTCCCTCTTGCTGACTATGAACATCCCCTGAAACCTGATTAATAATATCTTTTGATGTACTATTCAAACTTTTGGTAACAGACACGTCAGCAGCAGATTCAAAAGCAGATGAAAACCGAGTCCTCAAATTCTGTCCAACAACAGGCAAAGAAATTGTGGGCCGAAAATTCTGATCCGCTGGTGGTGGGCCCCCTGCAATTGTCAAATTCAAAACATTTCTATTCACTGTTTGTTGTTGTTGTTCAACATTTGGTTGCTTATTTTCAGAATTTGAATCTTCGTTTAATTCTTGTCCAATAAGTCTGAAAAACTCTGGAGGCTGAGGAGTTGTACGAAAAGCCCATAAACCAACTTTAGCTCCACAAAGTCTGCAGACTAAAACTATAGATGTATGATCATATTGCTCAATTGTAGAGGGATCATTGTTTGGATTTGGATCCAGATTTGAAGAGTATACAGTTATACTTGAATTCTGTGTGTTATTGTGTTTGTGTCCAGATTTGATGGATTCATCTTTTTTTAGATCTTTGCAATCAACTATGTAAGGTAGCAACCGAGGCTCCCAACCACATAAACTGATCAACTTTTGTGCCTGAAAAAAAAAAAAAAAAAAAAAAAGTTGCATGAATAGAATTTAGAGTAATGTCAAAATGTCAAATGCAAATTCAATGTGTTGTGTATATATTATTTTTGTTTAAATGTATGAATGATAGATTGAATATGGTTAAAGCTTATTAAATTTAAACTGCAGATAAGTTATCATACCTGATAGTACAAGACAGGAAAAACTTCTTCCCCTGTTGTTGAAGCATTATCAGATCCATACACATTCTCTAGAGTTGGAGAGTTTTTAAGGAAGTTTTCCAACAATGGGCTCCACATGTAATTAATGGCTGTTGATGAGATCACAGGAAGCTCCAAAAGTTGCAATAATGATGCACATCGTTTCTTGTAGTTATCAACCAAATCTACAGATGAACTAGGAGGAAACTGTGCTAATTTCTCATCACATGCATTGTCAACCCATGGGCAAAGTAATTTATGTCCATTATTCAGCTTTAAGCTGAAAACCGAGGCTGCATTCTCAACTACATTACATATAAAAGAAGATTATCATTCAAAGTAATGGTTTCTGAAAGTAACAATGATTGTATTTGTATGATGAAATCATGAATGTGGTTGTGTTACCTTGTTGTTGTGCCCATGATGATGGAGTAGAAAAGAAGAGACGGGCCCCACATGATTCACAGGCTATAATGTCCATATCTACATTAACCCAACCTCTCCTTGCACAGTTTATTGCACTTACTACCTGATCAAAAAGTTTATCAGGTTGAATGGATATTCATTCTACTTGTTTTGAAGGAATAGGGAAAGGAAATAATCAAATATGGTGATAGTAGTATTCATTTCTATATCTAACCTCAGGTTTAGCAAACCATGTCATGGACTTGAATGTAGCAAGCCTATTCAGTAAGTCGTCTCTGTCCCAGGGTCTGCACATGGGCGATTGCAATGTCTCACCAGATGTCTTTCTCAACTCCTCGATTGTACCTCCTATGGATTTTGAATAAACTACAGCTAGAGGTGTAGTCATCATGTGTGAGCGCTTCTTGCCTCTGAAAAATCCAACTGCAGTTGCACTATTCAAGTAAAAAGTGATTTCAAATAGTCAAATACTCCCGAAATCGCAAGAGAAAAAGCTATAATTGTGTAGCATTGTGATTCACAGACACAAATTTGGTATTTACTTGGTTTCTAATCTACCATCGATAACGTTAGTCATAGGATTCATGTCGATTTGAGTGTCCAAGTAGGCAATTGACCTCCGAAACAAATTACAGTTCGTTGTTCAATATAATGGACGGAGTATGAGCATTTGTATATGATTTTCAGATGGATAAACCCTAACGAACTGAAACAAGCCCTCATTTGGTTGTGAGTCGCTTGTTTGTGTCGAGTAAAACGCGATTCAAACGTTAGAGTAATAATTGGATCAAAACAACGAATTACAGGATTCTTCAAGCAAAATTTCAGCTGGTGAATTGAAATGTATTGAAAAAAAATATAAATAAAGGAAAATCGTATACCTAGTCGAACTGGGAGTTCTTGTGGGTTTGGAATTGGGAGGAGGGGAAAAGAACAGCTTATCCATGACGGCGTGAAATCTCTTCTCTGATTCTTCAGCCATTGAATTCAACAAATTATAAACTGAAAAGCTCTCCTCGCTGCTACGTTAACCTTCGTGTATATTCCAGCTTCGAATTTGCTACTTCTGCTAATGCAACGTCTTGAATGATAAAGGGTTATTCTTAAAAATATCAGATTGGGCCTTCAAAAATTATTACAATTTATTTTACAAAAAGGGGCTTTAAAATATCATTTTATTTAATGAAATTAAATTTATTTCCCAAAATTGTTTATAGATCCTTTGAATTTTGTGACATTGAGATTTAGGGAGGAACGTCCACCATATTGGGTGCTGCTAATAAGACACCTTTAGACACCCTATAATCATTTTTATAAAAAGTCAACTTATAATCAACTTCTTGTAATCATTTTTTTTCGGAAAACAATGCAATTTCAACCAATAAAAATATTTCAAACATTAATTAGGATTGTCTAAATGGTAAAATAAGGTGTCTTATTAGCCAAGACCAATAAGGATTATTTCCATAGAAATCTAAGATTTTGATTTTTTTTTTTGAAAAATAGTTAATTTTATGTGTTCTTTGTTATTTCAACCCAACAGGTCAACAATAAGTAAACTGAGTTTGTTCTTTTCAAAAAAGACTATATTTTGTAATTTTTTTTATTTAAACTTATTTTTTAAAAAACAAACTCAACTTTAATTTATTTCTTATTATTTCATTAATTGAGACGATTACTTTCTGTCTCACGGCAATAAATAGGTACATATATACTGGTTTTGAACAAATTTCGTTTTTTTTCTTTTTCAAATCAGTTTAAAATAAAATCGATTATGTTTATGCCATTTTCGTATTTTTTAGGTTTTTAAGTGAAAATGCGTTAAAAGGGTTTTCGATTAGGTTATAGTACAAAATCATAAAAACAATCGGTTAAAAATATTTATTAAAACCTATTACTAACCAACAACGTTAGCTAGTTAGTAGACTCGAGTTAAGAAATTAATCGGCTATACGAAGATTAATGTAACGTCCTGAAAATCACGACATCATTTTTTTCTTGTTTTTGTTTTTAGATTAATAAATCGTTAATACATTTCTTTCCCATAAAATAAGGTAACCATGATTTAGCAAAATATTATCAAATCAGAGTAATTCACAAAATACGGATATTTGTGGTGTGTGTTCTGCAATCATCTCGAGCTCTTTCATTTGAAAATCTGAGTACTTGAAACACAAACTGAAAACCGTAAGCACAAAACTTAGTAAGTTTTTGCAAAAGTACTACATATCATAAAACCACATAATACCATGTGATATACATATAGTTGTCATGTGCTACCCCATGATCTTTACCTAGAATGCCATGGGCTCCCCCCATGGTCCGATATCCAAGTGTCATGGGCTCCCCCCATGGTCTTGACCAGTGACGGAGCTTGAAGTGTTGATTGGGGGGGGGGGGGGGGGGCACATCCCCTCCTAGCCCTACATAAGCTTTGTCCTTGGTCTTGAACTGGAATGTCACGGGCTCCCCCCATGGTATGATATCCAAGTGTCATGGGCTACCCCCATGGTCCTTCATGCAAATATCACAAAGACAACTAGTGTAACAGCCCGAAATTCAGGTAAGCTTTATAACCCTTCTATTTTGAGAGTTGGCAAGACGAGTCCTTTAAGGTTGTGTGTTGGTTGTGAGTACGTTGGGCGTAATGAGGCGTATGTCGCGCGTACTCACGCGCTTATTTTGAACGCGGACTCGCCCGGGTACGCTGGGCGTACCCACGGTTACGTTGGGCGTAGTGTGCCTAGATGCAAACCCTAATTTCTGGCTTGTGCACTATAAAAGGAACGTTTAGTCCTTTGCCCCAACCACCATACCCCCTTTAGTAAGCCCTTAGAGTGCAGAAATCCGTGTTTAAGCTTGTGTGTTTTCTTGAGCTTGAAGGTACCTTTTTTGAGGTGAAGAATGAGAAGAGGAATCCATTGTTGGAGCTATAAGTGGAAGAGCAAGAGTAGATCCGAGTTCTACAGTGGTTGGAGATCCCTTTTGAGGTAAAAAGCTCAAAGCTTTCCTTGTCCTTCAAGAGTTTTGCTTTTTGGACCCATTTTAGGGTTTTTAGTTCAAAGGTGGAGACTTTGTGTGCAAAGAGTCTCCATAAGCCTAGATCTGGCCTTCCCCAGTGTAATATGTGTTGAGGATTCATAAAAATCTAATCTTGGTCGTGGATATTGAGTCATCTATGAGTTAGGGTCTTAATATGGAAAGAGGAAAGGTGTTTTGAGTGATAGATGATCTTTACAGCCATGCAAGGCTTAAAGGTTTCAACTTTATGGAGTAAGGACCCTTAGAGAAGTCAGATCTAGAATATGAGTTCTTGTGTTAACCGTTTAAGACCATAATACTTAATATGGCTGAACCGGGATTTACGTCGGGCGTAATCCCAGTACGCGCAGCGTAGGGGTGGCACACCCCGATTCTATGAAGGCACCGGGTACGCCCAACGTACATGTTTGGTACGCGCAGCATAACCCGGAGGGTTGACTTTTGTTGACTTTTAGGGTTTGGTCAACTTTAGGGTATTTGTGTCATGAGAGGGGTAAAATGGTCTTTTACCCTTCTGAGAGTGTTAAGAGAGGGAATTGTCAAGCCTTGGGAAATGTGTTGATGTCGAGTGTTTATTTCGTATGATTAGGTCGAGGCTAGATTCTATTTTCTCGGAGTCCGAGATTTCCGAGTTACCGAGTTACACGAGGTGGGTCTTCTCACTATACGTTACCTAGAGTGGTATTATGAGTTGACCGGAAGGTCTTATGTGCTATGTATAAGATTGTGTGCCATGTATGAGATTATTTGCTATGTGATGTATGTATGATATATAATTGTATAGACCGGACCGGAGGGTCCAACGATTCAGACCGGACCGGAGGGTCCAACGAGACAGATCGGGCCGGAGGGCCCAACAAGCTATAACCGGACCAAAGGGTCCAACGAGCTACAAGACTGGAGGGTCCCACTGAGACACACGGACCGGAGGATCATACAGTAGCCTCGAGTGGTGTATGTGTTGTATGTGGTATTTTGGGGAACTCACTAAGCATTTATGCTTACAGTTATGGTGTTATGTGTTTCAGGTACTAGTGAGGACCGTGGAAAGGTGCCGGCGTGACCCGTACACACAGAGAGGAGATTTGATTTATGATCATGGGATATGTTTTGATTTGATGACTATCGTGGAATACTATTTGAGAATATTTTATATATAAATTTGGTTGATGAAAAATGAAAATTTTGTTTTGAAAATCTCATCGTTACAAGTTGGTATTAGAGCCTTGGTTTGAGGGACTCGGATGCACCTTCGGGCGTATCTAAACTCAAACTGAGGATTTGAGAAATTTTCAACCATAAAAATAAATTTTCTAAAAAGAGTAAGAGGTTTAGAGGCAACAAGAGTAGAACAGTGTGTACGGTCAGCCAGCGCCCGAACGGTGAATCCCCAAAATACACGTACATTATGTGTTATAAGATATGATATATTATGTTATGCATGCTAGAGTAGGCTAGGTATTAATATTACGACTAGAGTGGCCTGATTTGTGATGCCTTAGCCTAGGAGATTACTGTTGCTATGAGATGTGGCAACCCGAAAAACTTCTTGCATGCACTCTTCAATTCTTTCCAATATTAGACTTATTTTTCTATATAGTAGTAACCTTTAGATTCTAATGAAGCATTCTAAATGTGATATAATCAAGGTAGGAGTGTTAAAATGGGTTAACTCGAAGCGTAGGAATCAAACCCAGGCTAAACACTCCAACGCATGGGGTGTGCGGCCGCACACGTGGAGTGTGCGGCCACACACTTGAGTGTGCCGCCACACACTCTTGTTTGCGGCCTCACACCTTTCCCAACCGCACACTCCACCTATATATGCCACACTTAAATCATTTTTGAACACTTCCTTCATTTCTTCAAGCATAGAACACGAGATCCTCTCAAGTATCATCCATTCTCCTTGAAGATCTTCATAAAAAGGTACCAAGAACACCAAGAACACCATCTGGCCGCACACATGGCCGCACACAGGGCTGCACACAAGTGCTGGCAGCACACTAGGCCGCACACACACATATAGTGTGTATTTTGGCCATACACCCTCTTGTATAGCCTTATAAACCCTCATACAATCATATATGATTATAACACTTCATTATAAGTGTTTACTAGTCCCTATGATGGTCCCAAAATCATCAATTAGTTGTTCATAACACTAATTATATCCATACATGTGCCAATATATGCTAAATAGGCTTCGCGTGTGTACTCAAGTCACTACTTGACACCTAGCATCAAATCCAACTTTGTCATCAGAACCACTCACTACAGGTGAGTTCATACCCCTTTAATGAACCTTTCAATTGTTTTTATATGTTTTAGGGGGGGGGGATACAAGTCAATTATACATGTTTATGGAAATTAATCACATGCGATTTACTATCCGCAGTTCGAATCACATGTGATTTATCACTATGCCTTATAAAAGGATTTTTCGTTTTCAAAACTATTTTGAATAAATAAACAATTTTTTTAAATGTTCCCTTTAGATAAGATTTTTCCTAAATAAATTTTATTATAAAAAGTAACCACACTAATATATTTATATAAGTAAGACTTGAAGGACTTAGGACCGATAGCTCGCCTTATTCCCTGTTCTTGTTTGATTGTGGGCTTAGGGTAGTTGTTATCCGTCCGACTGTCGTTAATTTCTTAGTTATATATCATGTATATTAGTGTTGGATACGAACATTTTCATTTCATCCGATGTTTAAACCACTAAATTGGTAAGAAATATACACACTAAGTTAACTATAATAGGTATAGTTAAGGCCATTACTACTTGCTATCACTACTACTCTACACACTATAATACACATTATTACGAGACGATACATTAGTAAGAGAACACACTACGAACTACACAAAAGACTACCACACTATAATAAAAGAAAAGGCACTAAACAGAAGATAACACACTAACTCACTACGAGATACTCTATTCGCTACATACTATGCCCAGAGTTTTTCCGACCGGAAGACGACACTACATGTATAGATCTATACGGGGCAGACACTAGTACATCCCGACTGTTAATTTCAGTCCGAGCCGTGCAGGCCCAGGGATGCACTACTTCACTATACTGTGTATGACCGGGAAGGTCATGGGGTTCTCTATTGCTCACACTATCGGTAACATACAAGGAATACACTATATCCACACTAAAATACTAAACTAAAG